ATAATAGCTGTGGTAAAATCATATGTCAATGAAGGATATTATTCATTATGAATTATTAATCCAGAATTGTATTTGATGGTGATAAGACTTTATTGTCAGATAAAGTCTGCATTTTTTCTTGCATCACAGCAAAGACAAACAACAATATATAATAATAAAAGACAAGAGGCAAATATACATACATTTAACATAAGATTACAAACACAGAAGACAATAATAAATACTCTTCAATATGCATTTGATCTAGGATTAAGCTCCACAGGCTATTTCATTTTAGGATTGAATGGTGCACAGAAGAATGCTTCCGGTTTGTCTCCGTGTGAAGGTTACAATTTGTATTCACTGTTCAGGAGGACATGGGTGGTTGGTGAGAGACAGTGTTGTTGGCCATGAGAGCATATAAAATCAGTGTGGTCTTCCCAGGATGACGATGATGATTTCTACTATTTCAATCTCCCTGCTGATCTTTATACGGTAGGCCTGTTATTAGTAGCCTAGAAGCGATTACAAACAAAAATATACTACTACTGCTACTACAACTACTGCTAACAATAATAATATTAAAGAACAACAATAATAATATTAATCATTAGTAGGCAGCATTGCTGTTGTAACCTAGTTGTGTGCTAATAAAGAATAAAAGGCTGGCTAGTAGTAGCATCTTTAGTTTTATAAGCCTTTTCAAATCCGGCTTTTTGCTGTCCTAAAATGCGTCACTCCCCGGGTATTGTAAAGGTTTCCGCTCCAAACAGGAATGAATGACTTTTATCCGTATTCCAGACTGTTTCAGTCGCCATTGTATGGTGTCAATGTGTGCCGGCGGATTTGATTTCCCACAGCATGCAGCTCTCTCGCGCCGCCACCAGAGCCCGCTTCAGACCATTAGGACAGCGAGAACCAGCACGAGAGCCCCCCGCGAGCCCCACTCTGTTCCTCCCAGCACGCGCCCCCGTCCTTTTGAATCCTAACCGACGATAACCTGTAACAACCTCCCGTCTCTCCCTCGCTGTTAAAATACACAGCTGTCAGAACTGTCCCCGTCTGTTGGAGTTGATTAATGGTGAGTGGACGAAGACACACGAGTACAGCTTTAGTTTAAGGTTTAGGGAGAGAAAGATAGAAAAATGCCATTTAAAGGAGGCGCTGTCGGGACATTTCTTCCCTCCCTTTACGCATTTTAACTGAGAGAGCTCCCCCCTAAAACAGCAGACTCACAGGCGGCAAAGCTGGGTAACTTTCAGGCTAGCAAGTGAATTAAAAACCTGCTATACTGTCGCCATTTCTCTCTTTCCCTTTTCCCTCTGTCTCCCTGCCCGAGGCAAGACGGAGGAGCAAGAAGACTCCAGGGCTATTATCAAGAGAACAGCCTGGCTGGATGTCCAAGCTAATAGTCAGCATGTAGCACTAGGTTCACGGAGTTGAAGGGTCAAAAGTTCACCGTCGTGCGTGAGTTCCGCCCTCGCCTCTCCTCTCCTCTCCTCTCCTTTCCTCTCCTCACTCACTCCACTCTAGACCAATTGCTGTATGTCAAAGGCAAAAGGAGAGGGAGGGAGAGGAGCAGAGGTAGGGAGGGGGTACAGATGAGAGAAATGATAGCAGGAGGCAAAGGAGAGGTGAAGGCCTGACCTTCCCTTCCCTTCCCCGGTAACAAAAGCAGAGCTCCTCCTGCCGCCCAATGTACAGAGAGAGAGATGAAGGGAGAAGAAAGACAGGAAAAATGGAGGGGTTGAAGGTGGTGGTGGGAGGGCGGAAGGTATTCGGTGACATGGAGGTGGGTGGGTGGATGTGTGGGGTGGAGGGGGTGGAGGAGTGCAGGTGTTTGGATACACACTTTGTTCACACCGGCTAACGTTTGTATTTCTTATGGAGTCACTTTCTTATCAAGGGTTATTGTTAATAAATGTTATTTGATACATGATAGGCCAAGACTGCAGTGCAGAAAATGGGTGAATGAAGGTAAATGAAAAAGGGGGCAGACACAGCAAAATAATATATATTATTTAAATATAATATTAGCCTACCTTTATTATTAATTCACCTGTACCACAAACTGCTGAAACCAGGCCTGAAGCAAATAGGTTTTATTAGAAAAACCAAAAAGTAATGGATAAAACCAAATACAGCTTTTCCTACTTGACCTTAATTATTATTATCATACGGACTAAGCTCTAAAAATATAAGATGCATTTTGGTAGGTCCTGACTTAAATATTACAGACAGACAGATGAAGGACACATCCTGTGGCTGACAACCTTACAGTATCCAATGACAATGTAGCAACATTTCTTTAAAATGAAGGAGGCTGTAATGTTTAATGCTGAAAATATGTATTAAATCAGTATTTATATGATCTTACAGTAAACAATAGTGCCACGATAGAGGTTGTGTGTGTGTGTATGCATAGCAGGGATTAGTGGGTGTAAAGTGGTGGTTTTATGCTTGGAGCTAACAGCTATTTATATATCCCCAAAGCATTTCGGAGAGGGAGTTTAGCAAAGCAGAGCCCTTCCTCTCCTCAGCCTTATCAACACAACCCTGTCAAAAATAAAGCCTTATCTTGCGCACCATCCAAAAAATATTACTCTTCTTATCTGATTTTCCACTGCAAGATTAATGCCTGGCCCCCTGTACTTCTGGAGCTGAGGAGAAGGAGCCTGAAAGCTTTTTCCTTCTGCTGTTCATCCCTCTCTTTCTTTCTTTCTTTCTTTCTTTCTTTCTTTCTTTCTTTCTTTCTTTCTTTCATTCCCTTGCTTCACGAGACATTATTACTTATCTATTATTATTACTTATTATAAAATAAGATAACACTCTGCGCGTTGTTGTGGGACAACTGCCCTGAAACTAACTGACATTGGCCTATTGGTTATTGGAGTCGTGGCCGATATTGACACAAAGGGGGTGGGAAAACAATAATAAAATAAGGGAGCCCCTGGGTATTCTGAAACACAACCTTTAGGGCCTTGATAAAAAAGCGTCTTTTTCGATGCGAATAACGCCGAACCTCCTGGCTTAACTGCTTTGACCTCAGGACGAATGCGACAAACAATGGGAATCGTTTAATCTGCAGCTCCTGCTTAATAGCCACCGTTTGGACACATATTGTTGGAGCTATGCTTTTATTGTTAAAAGTTGAGGAAGGGGGGCAGAAAAAGGCAGGGGAATTAGTCGCCACAGAGAAAGCAAACTTGATAATTTCAGTAAATAAATTAATCCGCTTATTGACGAAACACGCTTGGTCTGGGCTGGATTGGCACGGCTCCGGCCTTGGGGCCCGGTCCCCCCCCCCCCTGCCCCCACATCCCAAAAAAGGTAAATGGGTGAATAACTACTTACAGGGATTCGTTCTTTCTCCAAAAGGTTCATTTCCCGAGTTCACCAAAATTTAATTCAATTTTTAGGTTGGGAGGCGCGCCTGTTAGGTCTGTCAAAAGTGGTCATGAGTTTTTAATTAATCTATACCATTCAACCATTCACTCACACATGGATATTAACTTTTCTTTACGTATGTCTTTTATCTACATATACAGATAAGAACCTGTAGAGAGCTGGTTCACAAAAAAAGCCTGATGTAAAAAAGGAAACATAATACACATCTGTTTTCTTGTAACAGGCATGATTAAAATGTTGCAAATTATTTCTTGAAAAGTAATAGTTAGTGAAATTGAGTTAGGAAGAAGTTGTGGACATATGGCTGCAGTTAACTCGATAAAAATCCATCGGCCGGGTTTCAGAGAGCTCGAATAACATCAATATAATCCACCTGATACCTCTGTTGGCTCTGATCTCCGAGCGGCCTCAAAGCTGTTAAGCGCACTTTGGAAAAACGATTGTTTATACGGACTAAGCCTGCAATACAACACACTTTGTTTTTCTACGAAATATATTCCTGTACAGACTCTGCAGTGGATAGGTGCGGGTTTTGCTGGGGGTTCACATGTCAGCGAAGCACGGCGGTGTCATTTTATATTTATACAACAAAAGGAAAGGGGGAGAAATGACCTTAAGAAAAGAAAAAAGCTGTCTGGTGAGGGAGAAAGAAAAAGACCCTCCCTCCCTCCTTCACATTACCATTTTTCTTCAAAATAATGACTCCAACTCAAATTTAGTATGGGACGGAGGGAGAGATAGAGGGAAAGGGGTAAAGAACAAAAATTAAGAAAGGGAGAGAGAGAGAGTGGAAAATGGACAAAAGAAAGGGTGGTGGAAAACGGGAGGGGATAAGGGAGAAGAGAGAGAGGGAGAGAGAGACGAGGGGGGGGGGGGCTTGGCTGCTGCTCGGGTGAACGGGAGGTCAGCGCGTCTCACCAATATTAAAATGTGTAACCGGGGACGGCGGGGTGGACACGCCTCGCCCGTCTAAACAAGAGTGTGGCCAAACTGGCAGGATTAATTTGAAAACTTGGATCCATGCACACACACACAAACACTTAATGCCTTAAATAGCCCACAAGTCTTCCACAGCAAGCCGGTCGCTGCTCCCCTCAGCCCCAAAGCGCCTCGCCTGCTAACCGGGGGAAACACGGGAACGGGGCCACCGGTGGAAGGGGTTTCCTTCTGTCATTTAACAGCCGGATTGGTCGGGCTTTTACGCACAGAGCCGCACGCGTGGCTGGGGGTGTTCGGACATTTACGGTGTCGTGTTGCTTTGCTTTCGCTGGATATCTCATTTAAATTTGTTCTAACCACACAGTATTATTTGCGTTTATTTAAAACGCCGGATTCTGTCCGATTCGGTTCGGGCAGACAGTCGATTTTACGGAGAACCGGGGAGTGTGTGCGTTCTCTGCGCGCGTGTGGCCTGGCCTGCGACGGTGCGTGGCGTGTGAGCGGGGGGTGTCCGCGAAATGACAGCGGACTTTTTTTTCCTTTTTTTTAAGATACCACGAAGAATCCCGAAGAGGGTCAAAAACCTGCTGGCGTCGGAAGGAGGGAGAGAGGGGAACTGAGCGTTGTGAATGCCTGGAAGGTAGGAAGGCATCTGTTCATGGGGAGCAAAAAAAAGGAAAAAGACTGGAGCACGGCTGCGGTTAGTTGGAGGATGTACAGAAGAAAAAACAGAAAAAGGAGAAGAAAATAAAAGAGGAAAACATGGTTGAAAGCGAAGTGACGGACGATGGCAGTAAGGAGAGGCATCGTGAGCTACAGAGGAGTGAGTACACAAAAAATAGAAATCGCTCGTAGAAGAGGAAGCTGCCTCATTTGCTATCGCTTGTGTGTGTGTGTGTGTGTGTGTGTGTGGTTCCCGGTTTTCCTGCTAGTACCGTGATGTGTATGTGGCAGGTGCTTGCCCCATTGGGAGGAAGGGGGTGAAGACCACGTGTTGGCAGGAGCTGCCGCAGAACCCCTCCTCCACCATCCTCTCCTTAGACAGTTAAGTTGTATAATGACTTATTAATCAATTCATATTTATTACGATTTAGAGGCTGTCACGTCACGCCGTGGGGGTATTGAACTGTGTGTTCCTTTTTGGCAAGGCTCCATTTCCTTCACTGTACCTCCCCTATCACGCTGCTTAATTAGTTACCCTAATTAAGCCACCTTGGGGCTTGGTGTTGGACTTCAGGGTGCACCACGACATTTTGGACAATAATTGGAGGTTTTGCAAGAACCCATTTTTCTCCTCTTGGTCAACCAGACACTAGCTTATAATTCAAGTATCGATGAATATAGCATCAGATAGATAGATAGTAGATAGATAGATAGATAGATAGGATAGATAGATAGATAGATGCTTTGTTATTAACCTCCCCAGGCCTATGCAACCCCCCCCCCCCCACACAACCACACACACACCGACAGCCCTATGCCTACCGAGGGTGAAGGCGAGGTCGTGGCCAGTGGAAGGTTAAAGGTCAGGCTGGACAACTTTCTCCCCCTGCAGGCCTACTCTGAATCACATTTTTACAATCTTCTATAGACGATTTAATGCAGAATAGCGAATAGCTAACGATTGTGCGTGCTGCCTTCAAAATGCCTAAAATAGTAACAGAAATGCTTTGGTTATGTCCCACAGGGGGAATAATTGTTCTGAAGAAATAAATAGAGTGAGTATGAATGAAGTGAGATTTTTTTCGCAACGGTTTTGCTGCGGTTTTATCAGTTTCCATCCAGATGTGTGGTTTTCTGCTGTTGATGTACGAGCACATGGCGTATCAACGTGTTGGCAACAAGAGCCTGCAGAAAGCAGCGGCGGTCTCAGCTGTTTATTTTCCTCTGCTGATTGCTAATGTGCTGTTTCTTTGATTATAAGGTGGCTGTGGAATAAAATGCTCCGATTCTGCAGGGAGCATTTGTTTCTTTTCATCGTTTGTGCTCCTCCATCAAACAACAAACGCCGTGTGCTAATACTGTACACACCCAGTTCGCCAACCAATTCAAATAGTTCATATTGAGGATGTTTATATGTGTCTACTTCGCATCAACAATGTATGAATAGATGTGTCTTTCGTCTGGTTTAATGCACGTTTGCCATTTGGTTTTATATTCCCCTGTTATGTAAAAAGTCAGGGCCTTTCTATGTTCAGCTTGCAGTGCAGGAAATTAGACTGATGAGAATATCAGGGTGTCACTCGTCAGATTTGGCTTTAAAAAAGGGGGGTATTTTGGAAATGTGAATTTTTTTTTCCCTTTGGATGCTAGTGGACACAGACAAGGCGCAGCAGTATTTCTCTGCTTATTTTGCTGCCAGCTCTTGAATTAGTCTATATTTCCACCCGATGTTTATATGTTTGCTCAGCCCGCTGCAGGCTGCTTGTCCGCCTTCTGCATTGTGAGATGAATTTAATCTTAAAGCCGAGTTTCTAACCTCCGCACAATAGACATCCCAGAAAACACCTTTAGATTAATACTTGCCACACGGAGGGACAGGCCTCCGCTGCACTTCATTTTTTCTCCCTCTGTCCAATACTTTGCATGACAATAACCAGGGGAATGGAGCTCGGTTTATTTTTCAAACTGCACAAAGGAGCAAAGCCACATTTCTTTTCTTCGTCGTTGTCCCTGTAGCTTTTTCACCTCGGTAATATTTCAGATCATTGACAACTCCGGTCGCTGCACATAATGAGGCCGTTTAACCCTTCAATATGTTCATTTGAATTCTCTCATTGTGCCTTTATACAAGTTACGGCCTGCCACTGAAAAAACCCTCGGTGGCTTTTTTAATGTTTCAGGCCAAGTTTAAAAGGAAGGATGAGCACAAAATGACTTAATGCGGTCATTCTGTTGGGAGCTGATCATGTATTTTAGCATAAGCTATTTACGGACCTGCAAGAGCCTTTTAGTTTATAAGCTCACACTTTATCCCTTCATTATGAAGCCACCTCGGGCTTTACAGAGGTCTTACCTTAATACTTGTTCAAATGAATCCATCTCAGAGAAAAAGTTGAATCCCAATATGTAGAGAAGCAGAAGCAGGGAGCGATAGTTTTTTCAGCAGCTTTGCCAACAACAACTGAGTTTGTGAGCCGCTGATGGGACAAACTTGTTAGAAAGGTCGTAAATTGTTAGGGGGACTTTAGTTAGTTATTTATTCACCCTGGCTCTCTTCCGCTCCCTGAATATTTTATTGCTTTTTATTTCACCCTGCTCCCTTTCAAACACCTTTCAACCTCCGGGAAGTTATACCGTTTGAGGCTGTTGGTGTTTGAGCTGTAAACGGAATTGACCCGCAATAAAAGTCACATGTTTAAATCCCGATCCGCTGACCTTTTCCACCCAGTGCATCCCGCTGTATGTCATCCTCTCTGTGCCTTCAGTGAAACATGTCCTAATATTCCATCTAAATGTTAGAGCAGAGAGAGGCCTATTTTTATTTTGGACTGTGGAGCAGCTGACTGCACTTTACTCCTCCTGCATGTGTTTGTGTGTGGTTTGAAAACTAGACAGGCTGGTTTTTCAGGAGTGGTGCCACAGCTAGTGAAGTGGTCCTTAGCTCCCTGACATGTTAGAATTTATGATTTTTAAATAAACTAAACGCCAAAATGAAGGATTCTGTTTATTTTGCGTGTTCAAAGACACATTTTTTAGCAAACTAGTGAATGCATTTAAAGGAATATCGAGCTGCTGCTTTTAGTGTTATTATGATGTTTTTCTTGTTTTGTTGATATTACATTACACTGTGTCTGGAACCTATGAAGCTGTTTGGTGTTTTTCTGTCCTTATATGCTCAGTATGTCTGAGTAGTGTTGCTCTTTGGTTAGCACATTGACCTCTACCTGTAGCCGGAGACAATAGGCTCCCGTCCATCTGAATGGCTGCTGCTGACAAACTTGACAGAGGGAAGGGAAGTGCCGCAGTCGGACTCAACACACCTTGATCGATACCTGAGATGACCCGCAGCAGAGCGGGAGGTCAAGGTGACAGAAATAGGCCACACCTGCGAATAGAACAGAGACCACACTGGTTTTTATTGGGACTAAACACTAAAACAAGTTAAACATATAAATAAAGATAAAGAAATAAAAAAACTAGACAGAAAGGAGAGATAAAAGCTGCAGGTTAGAGGCAGGTTGACAGTGCGTCTCCCTCTTGTCTGAATAGTCTGCTCTATGCTTTTGTTGTCCAGTGTGGTGATGTATGAGCAACTTTTGGAGGAAACAGAGAACAGCAATATTGCCTGCAGCAGGGAGGGAGGGTCGGTGTCACAAAATCAATGTGGGAGCAGCACAGGAGCAGATAGAAATTACATGGAAAAACACATTCATATGTGAGCTTCTAAATGCATTCTCATATATTAATATGAATTTTTAATCCATTTTTGCACTTAGATGATCTAGTTTCTACCATATGAATGTGATATGATATGTACCAAAATAACTTCTAAAATGTTTTAAGCTGGTTTAAATGCATTCAAATCACTGAGGACTGAGCATGTGTGTTTGTGCTTTGTTTTAATTGTTACCTATTTGATAGATAGATAGATAAGATAAGGAAAAAAAAGAAAAGAAAAGAAAGAAAAGAACGATTATAGAGTGCAGGCCCTCGTGTGTGTGGGTAAGATCACTTTTTAATTCAGTTAAATCAGAGTTTTGGAGTCAGACTGCAATTCATTTTCCATAGTGAAGGGACATTTATTCATTTATTCATTGGTCCATCCATTCTTCAGTCAGATCATTCAGAACATTTTTTGATAGGGCCGTGTTTCCCGGTGCCAAGCGATTTGTCTTTTCTTTCATTAAATTGTGTTCATTCTGTTAGAACGGCGCATGCTTGGAGCTGCCAAGTTTTTTTTCCTGTTCTTTTGCTTTAGGATAATTACAACTATACTTTTAGTTCGGTTTTGTGTGGTTATTACGTGGATGAAGAGCTTTATTTTATATTTAGAATTTGAATAAACATTCGTTTTAAACGGAGTAATGAGAAACTAACTGAGCAAGGAAATATTTAGAGATAAAAATTAGATACAAAACCTTTGTCATTGATAGGCCTAATCTCTCCTTTACAGTAAAATAATCGTATGTGACTGTATACACGATAGAAATAATATTATTTTATATCATAAATAATATTTCAACAATTCACAGGGCGTAATATTACTTTATGTATTTCTACTCTCGTCCTTCGTTGTAACAGCGTAAAAACACGATTATCAATGATTAATTCAATACACAGTCCATTAAAATAAAGAGAACAGGCCTTTAATTTTATGTTTAAGATTTATTTATCATTTTACCATTTAAACCTGCATATGGAAACACAATTGAAACGCGTCTGTATTGCATTGTATTCTCTCCTCAATATTTTCATCACTTTCTAGAGATTTTTATTTTTATTTTATTTACCCTCCTTGTTTTATTTGCCAGTTGGCGTCAGCCTTGACGTACAGGAAGTGTTACAACATTATAACTTCATTTCCCAGATCCCCACCAGCCGTGAGGAGGTCAGGGGTCAGAGACAGTACAGATGGATGAAAATATTCCAGTGTGGCTGCGACAGGGAGTTTATGAAAGCAATAAAAGTCTATCGACGGTGTAACCTTGTGCCTCCAGAGAGCCGCTGTCTTCTATATCTACCCTGTAGATCCGGATTTGTGTAAAAATCATTAAAACAATCACAAATTCGCTTCTAGGGGAGTATATAGTGGATTTATACACTACGGCAACGATGGATCCAACCCGGAGGAGAGGCCTTTAGCTGCTGTTATTGGCTTGTAACGCCTTTATTCAGCACGGATCGCTGCTTCATATTTGAATTTGTAAAAGTGCAGTTGTGAAGGTTAAAAGAATGTCTCTCCTCCATGAATTTTTATTTCATTTCAGCATGGAGACATACGACCATTTATTTATTTTAGAAATGTATTGCTGGTTATTTGACGTTAGCTCCTGTGTGGATCAAGCACCGTGCTGTGGGTCTGTTCTCCTCCAAAGTGAAGAAAACTCAATCCAACTTTTGTACATTTTTTTTCGATCATGGAACCTCCTCTCAGTTTTAAAGGCCAACTCCAGGTTGAATTGGACTCGTTTTATTTATTATTTGTCTTGTTGAAAAATGATGCGGTCGACTTTACTGTTAGGAAGGCGTATTGGGGGGTTGGGTGTGTGTGTGTGGGGGGGGAGCTAAGGTTTCGATTTAGAGACGGTCAATTTTCTGGAAACAAAGGACTTGGATATCTCCATCATCTTGCCTGTGTGTCTATGTGTGCGCGCACTTTTACTCCCTCTGATAACACTACCGAAAGTGCACAAGAGACTCATTTTGATTGGGAAAACATCTATTCCATCCACTGCAGCGGCTTTTGTTTTGTAGCATATTTTATTTATTTGTGGTTTTTGTATGTCTTGTTTTGGTGCAATTAAACGCAGATTGTGTGGAATTAAAGAGAGTTACAGTTTTTCTGTAAAACAAAAAAAGGGTATTATTATTCTTTACAACGCAGCGCTCTGTCTAGTTTCTGTGCGTCATGACTCTGAGTAATACAGGCCTGAGTCCTTGTTTTTAGGTGTTTTGTGTCTGTTTTATAGCAGTAAGAAAGTGACAGCAGCAGAGAGTGAGTCTGGGTCTTACTGTACTGTGTTAATATTGGGAATGGTGGAAACAAAGCAATGGAAGTCTGCGGCAGCTAGTGTGTGAGCGGGTCACGGTTGGGGAGATGAATTCCCTTTAGGAGGAAAAACAAAGAGCTGTGTATCTCTGTTCAGTAATGCACAGCTCAAGGGCAAAAGCAGCCGCACAATCTGGATGGGGCATATGGACTTGCCATGCCAGTGATGTTAATATCGGAAAATGGAGGGAAATAAATCCTGTTTATTCATGCAAGGCAAAAGGCGACCCTGGGTGAGGCTGAATTACCATGCACGGGGAGTTAAATGTGGAATAGGCGCCTGTTGGAGGCAACACGGGTTTTAAAAGAGGGAAACGGTGCTGGATTCTCGTCCCTAATGCAAAGGTCTGCTAGTGATTTAGGAGGCCGTGTAACCTGAATTAGTTGATGAATTTTCTATCGATCCTAAACAAGCCAGATTTATCTCTGACACGGTGCTGCTGCTGGGTGGCGGCTCAGCAGCCGGCCAGGCCACTCTCCCACTCCCCGTTATTAGCGATTTAAAAGAACACACACAAAAAAGAAAAAAGCTTTGGCAAGCACGTCCCTACACACACCCAAATATATACACAGAGGGTGGTGCAGGCGCCACTTTAAATCCCCCCAAGCGCTTTCTTTCTGCTGCTTCTTTCTCCTTTCTTTTTTCTATTTGAAGTTGCAGCCAGATGCGTAACAGGGGGAAGGGTTCGTTTGCAATAAGGGAGGACTTGTCATCTCTACTGTAACTCTGTTGCTCGTGTGTGTCTGCGCGCGCGCTACCGGAGCGGCTTCAGCTGGAGCGGAATGTATTTTCAGCGTGTCAGTCGCGCTTTGTTATTGTTGTGATTCTCTGCCCGCTTAGGACGGCATGCGTGCCGACGTGTGGTGGAGAGATATATAGAAAGAAGGGGCATAAGGGGAGGGAGAGGGGAAAGTATTGTAAGACTGTGAATGCCCACAAACTGAGGCCATATGATGATGCGCGTGCGGGGGCCGTGTATATGCTTAATCCCATTTCCTTATCCGGGGTCCGTCCTGGAGGCGCGCCATTGGCCGGCTGCCGTCACGTGGCTTCTTAACTTTGTTCACTTGACAGAAAAGTAGGAGGGTTCAACGGAACAGGAATAACCGAAGAGTAAAGGGATGAGATATAAATTTTAGTTATATATTTTCCGAGTAGGTGCAATTCCACAAAAAGACTGAAATTAATGGCCATGAGCTCCTATTTGATCAACTCCAACTATGTGGACCCGAAGTTCCCACCGTGCGAGGAATACTCACAGAGCGACTATCTGCCCAGCCACTCTCCGGACTATTACAGCTCCCAGAGGCAGGAGCCTGCTGCCTTTCAACCGGACTCTCACTACCACCACCATCAACACCACCCGCACCACCAGCAGCGAGCCGAGCCGCCGTTCACGCCGTGTCAGCGTGCAGGGCAGCCCGCTTCGGTGGTGATGTCCCCTCGGGGTCACGTCCTCCCCCCGCCCGGGCTGCAGACCACCCCCGTCCCGGAGCAGAGCCACCGCTGCGACTCGGTGACACCCAGCCCGCCTCCGCCTCCGTCTTGCGGTCAAACGCCCCACAGCCAAAGCACTTCGTCCCCAGCAAGCAGTCGTAAGGACCCCGTAGTCTACCCGTGGATGAAGAAAGTCCATGTAAACATCGGTAAGTGCTGCATGCAAACTTCTTTCTCTCTCCCCCCTCTCTCTCTTTCGCTGCGCCTTTGTGCCTGCAGTTGAAACCCATGCAGTCAGCTAGGTGTCCACCGTCCAAATCTACGGCTTCCCCTCCCTGTTTTCTGTTAGAAGTAGAAGAGTAGCCCTTGGGTCAAGATTTACGATCGTCTGTTTGCAGGGCCAATATAATTACACCCTCCATAAATTTTTATTACACCTCTCCGCTGAGGTGCCTTTTGAAGTCCGATCTCAGGCTCGTCTGCTCTAATTCCTCGCCTTATGACAATCCGACCGAGCCCATAAGTTAGCTTTTATGCTTTGGTAATTTGATTTTAAGTGGTCGGGTTGTATAAACGGTGTACTTTACTCTGTCGAGCCTTCCTTCCCCACTCGTTGTTCCAGGGGAGGGAAAGTTTTATGGCAGCTGAAATATTCATGTTTATGGAACCGGTCGTAAAACACTAATGTAAAACCGAATAGCTCCAGTCTATTATGGCTCCTCTGTAATGTTATAATAGACTTGCTGCCTATTGCGTATTGGGATAACGGGAGCGCATGTTCGCGCAGCGACAAAATGCCACTTTTGCAAAGTCACCGTAATACATTGACTCCAGCGGGCTGTTTACTCGGTAAGAAAAGTCTTTCTTGCATTTTTCCACCTTATTTTAGCTGTCATGTCTTAGGGAGACACCAGACTCCAGTGCAGCATGTTTGCTTGCTGCTATCCGGTTGTAGTTTTGGAGATTTGTTGAATCATTACCCAGTCGGCCATTCAGTGCCGTCGTGTAGCTGCTGCACCCCCTCCACCACCTTTATTCTCAACCACTTTATGCAAGACAGACAATGCTACCATCAGTCCATGGTATCTGCAAGATCACTGAAAGAAAATGTAACTGCTCGTTTGGATCCTCGCTGCTCTTGTTGTTTTTATGTTCTGCTCGTGCGTGCACAAACGTGTCAGAACAGCAGCAGTTTCTCAACCTTTAAATGCGGCCGTGGCCCCGATTTGCTCTCAAATCACAACATTTGGACACCAGCGTCAGGCTGGCGGTGCTGGGAGGATTCACACCGCCGCAGGGCCTAAAATGACACCTGACAACATGTGTTCACTGAAAATGCAGAGTCTCGGCAACAAACTGTAGTGGAAAATAAACAACATTTGAAAGCACAGGAAAAAAAAAGATTTTTCATACAATAAAAGAGGCTTGGAATTATTAAAGGGTCTGCAAGGTTACATCCATTTTGTATTCTATCATAGTGGGTCCAACGCGGTGGCCATGGCTTTATTTTCTCTTCAGTGCATGCTCATAATGCACTGACATTTTGTTTCTCCCTGGGTTGTTGTTTTCAGGTTACCACTAGACTACAGTGTTGTGTCCTATTTAATTAGCCCTCAATATTAGATATATATTCAAAAATATACATGTATTTTTAGTCCAAGCCAATATTGTATTATTATTGTTATTATTA